TTCCCTGGCAGGTGAGTTTATCAGTCCAAGTCTGCCTGTCTGCCTCTCTGTCTCTGTCTCTGTCTCTGTCTCTGTCTCTCTCTCACCATCTGCTAGCATTTGATAAGCCCCTTGTCCTGTGGCTTCAAGCCCCCCAGGACACAGCCCCCCAAACCACACCCTTAATCTCCTCACCTCTTCTGCTGGAGAATTTGGCAGAGTTCATGATGGCTGGCTACTTTGGGAGCTATCGTAGCCTGGTCACCCTTCGGGAGCTACTGCAGTCTTGTTTTTGGCAGCATCTAGGCATGTCTGCTCACTGACCAGTGCCCACAGTCCATCAAGGTTGACGGCTGGACAGAAGTTCTGGTTTCTCTTTAAGTGGTGACACCTCCTACCAGCCTTCCCAGAGTACGCTGGGTGACACTTGTCCAGGTTGATCCTCCAGCAGTGCATGGTACCCACTTTACCTCGGCCCCCGGGGGCTTCTGATGTTTGCTGACATGGTGGTGGTGGACAGGCTCACATGGCCCCAAAGTTTTGGGTCTCCCTTAGTCTGGATAGCACATTGGCACCCAAGAAAAGAAAAAGCTATCGGTCCAAGTCTTAAAAACTCTCTTTCTTCAAAGACCCTGATGGTTGGCCCCAGGATGTGGCCCAGAGCTGACGTCTGTCTCGTGCAGCCCTGCATTGAGAGTGCACAGAGCACGTCCCTGGGCCACCATGTCCTTAGCAGCTGTGAGGGAAGCCAAAAGTTTCGGTCTTGAATTCAGAAACAAGTGAACAAGGCAGACTTTGGGAGCCTGGGCCTTCTTGATGGCAAGCTGCTCAGAGGAGCCAGGGCCACTTATTTCAGAGCTTATGACTCCACTGCCATAGTTCTGGAAGTGACTCTCCCCCACTGGCCCTCACGGTGTGCAGCATTTCTTGGTGAGCGCTGGGAGATGCGAGCCCAGAGTACAGTCCTGGGACACAGGGCAGGGCAGCCTTCCAATAGAACTGGCCCCTGTTCCAAGGGTGCCAAGGACTTCCCTGCCAGGCAGGCATGTGCCCTGGGCACAGCCTCCATGGAGTAACACCTGTGTTCAGCATGACCAAATATTTCCCGAGGCTCACTGTGGATGTTGTGGCACCTGCCACAGCTCCCTCCCTGCAGGAACAGTGCCCAGAGCTTGGCTCTGTGCAGATATCTAGCAGCTGTGAGTGACCTTGGCCCTGGTACAGAGCATCATGCTTCCCTGGGCTGTTGTGTGAAAAACAGTATTTGTGGACGGACTCTTAAGTGTGGAGCTAAGCAAATGGCAAATGCTAGAGGCTGTGATTACCAGAAACCAGAGAACATGCTTGTTAAAATCAGACTACTCTCGTCCCCCTCATTTCCTGGTGATCTGCAGCCTACCCTCCGTGCCAGCTGCTGCCCAAGAGGAGCTTGGTGGAGGACTGATCATTCAGGCACGTTTGGAACCTGCTGTCTGCCAGCACAGAGTGATGCAGAGAGTAACAAGGAACAACTTTCCCCCTTAAGGAAAACAACTTTCCCCCCAGTCTCCTTATGCTATGGCAAACAGAAACACTAAAATGACATTCAGGATTTGGAGGCAGATTTATTTATGTCAATGGGCACTGATCAGGATTATTCCCAAAATATCAGACCCCGATCGCTGGTGGTCTAGGGCTTATGTGGCATAAGCAAGCAGGAAGTACGGAGGCAGAATGGCTTGTCAGTTGGGGATTGGTTTATACAATATCCATCATAGTGACCAGCTATGCATCATGTGACCAGCTGTTCCTAAGAGACAATAGTGACAGGAACTGGAACAGGAACTATTACCTGGGCAACTAACAAAGGGAAGTTTACTGATTGTGGAGGGGCATCTTCTGCTACACTTAGAGAAACAACCTGGCAGATGGAAATGGTATGGTGCCACATGCCCTGTGGTAAAGGCTTGTCTAAAGTGCTAGAGACACAAAGGAGAGAGGGATTAATTCTGCCTGAAGGTGGGACCAGCCAATATCTAAATTGGGCTTTTCAGGACATCTAGGAGCTCGCTGTGTGACTCAGCATCTGAGAAATGGGGAGTGGAATAGCAAGAGCCACACCCCAAGAAAAGGAAATTGGAGCATTGGATGGTGGCCCACAGGGGCCATTCATGCTTTTTCCATGGACCAGGACTCTACTGGGCTGGGATGGTAGATCCGAAGTGATTGCCAGAGCAAAGGCCAGCTCCCTGGGAGGGAGGAGGTTGCATCTGAAGAGTGGCCTGAGACTGAGGTATCTGAGGAGTTGAAGTGGCATCCAGGCAGCATGTCCACGGACGCAGTACACATTTGGGAAACCAAAGATGGTTTCTGTCACCGGAAGAAAGATGCAGTGTGGGGCCCATCAGAGACAAGGCTGTGGAGGCTGGCAAATCTGCAAGCCTGGAGGGGAGCACAGAGGACGGTGTGGACCTGGAGACTCCCAGGGCAAAACTGGAGCAGGACCCAGGCTCCCCAGGTGACCCCAACACAGTCAGGACTGAGACCATGGGTATAAAGAACACCAGTGAGGCGGAGCAGGCCTGGAAATCACAGCCACCAAGGCCGGCAGGGTTCCTGGACTGAGGGCAGGGACTGACTGGAATTTTCAGGGACCCCAGTTCAACCAGGGGATGTATTGAGATGGGGAAGGTTGACAATTCTGGGGAACAATTAGTTGACCTGGGAGAGAACTGGGTAAGAGTAGATGCCAATCTCAGCCTGAGAGCACCCCAGGGTAGGTTCACAGAAACCAGCAAAGCATTGCTGAAGGGGATGAAAGATGAATGGAAACAGCTCACGTTCATCAAAAGTGTCACGCAGAGGTCACACTGCTCAGAGCAATCTATCTGCAGAATACAAAGTGTACCAGAATTCTCATGGAGGCGTTTTGGGTTTTGGTTTTTAATCTGCCCTAAAATTCTTAAAGAATTTCAAGGGACCTGAGTGACCAAAAAAAGAAACAAACAAACTTGGAAGTCTCATGCTTTCTGATCTCAAACGTATTAGAAAGGGGTGTGTGTGTGTGTGTGTGTGTGTGTGTGTGTGTGTGTATTACTGGAATTTAAAAAAAAAACTGGCAGAACTGGACAAAGAGCCCAGAAATGAACCATCACACAGTCAAATGACTTTGGACAATGGTGACAAGACCATCCCGAGGGGAGAAGGCAGTGTTTGTAACAAACAGTGCTGGGAATGCGGTACGTCCACATCGAGGGAATGGAGCTGCACCCTGACTCATGTCGTGTATAAGAACTGACTCCGAATCAATCAGAGGCCAAGTGTGTCTTAGAAAGAAGCGCAGAGAAATGCCTGTGACCTTGTCCTTGGCAGTGATTTCTTGGCTGCAACACCATCACCGCAGGCAGCAAAAGGAAAGATAGATGAATTTATCGAATCAAAGACTTTTCAGCATCAAAAGACAATCAGCGAGTGAAAAGGTAACCCAGGGAAATAAGGAAAGGTTTGCCAGCCCGCAGAGAGCAGCAAGTGTGGAGAATGTGGAAAGATCAAGACCCTGGTGGCCTGAGGATGGGGATGGGGGATGACGGAGCTGCTATGGACGTGGTATAATAATTCCTCAAGAAAATTTAAACTAGAATGACCTGCTGTCCAGCAATTCCACTTCTGGGTGTGTACCCAATAACCGCAAGCGTGGTTGTGACCTGCCAGTAGGCCGTGGCAGCCATCCCGAAATGCCATAGTCGGGTGGCCGAAGTCTAAGCTTAGGGCTTGGCAGGGAAGGTTCCCCCGAGCCACCTCCTTGCCTTGCAGAAGGCACCATCTCCCTGTCCTCACACAGCTGTCCCCGTGAACGTCTGTGCCCTGATCTCACCAGGTTAGAGTGGGCCTCTTCAAAGGCTCAATCTCAATGCACACTCACCTGCTGAGGCCGTGGGGCCTAGGGTGGCAACAGAATTTTTGGTAACCAAGGTGGCAGGAATGGCACAACTTATGCTGCTCAGGTCCATAGCAGCATTATTTACAAGAGCCAAAAGGTGGGCGCCACCCTATTGCCTGCCTGTTGATGAACCCATAAGGAAAACATTGTTTTTCCATCCAGTGGGAAAGCATTTGGTGTTAAAAAGGAAGAAAAATCTGTCCCAGGTTGTAAGGCTGCACCTTGCAGACACTGTGCTAAATCACACCCGCTGATCATAGAAGGACAAACACTGGGTCCCTAGCACCTGGGTCGCTAGCCCAGCCCAGTGCACAGAGACAGAATCGGAGGGTGCTGGCCGGGCTGGGATTTAGTGCTGCTGGGGGCAGAGTGCCAGCTGGGGAAGGTGAAAGTTCTGGTGGTGGCTATGGTGACAACAGAGGCCTCTGAACTGTGTACCTGAAGATGTTTGGGACCGGGACGTGGCTCACAGGCAGGGCACTGCCTTGCTTCCATGGAAGTTGGGGGGCCTTAAGTGGTAAGTTATGTGTATTCTGCTACAGTTGAATGGCTGAAAGCAGTAACAAGCGAGGTTAAGGAGGGGTGCAGGTGCTCCTGGCATAGAGGGGCTCACTAAGCCCGGATGTAGGAGCCACAGGCCCAGGCGCCTCCACTGTAGAGGGGACACGTGTGTGATGAGCTGCCCTTTCCAGTCTGCCTCGGTCCCTGTCCCATCCGCCAGGACCACCGTGTCACTCAGCTCTCCTGACTGCTCTGATGCTGTCCTCCCAGGAGACATGGCGCCTCCTTGGGCCATCAGCACTGTCCAGGTCGTCCCCAGATGGGATCCCCACACCCCTCCCTACTGCCTTCATTCCCTTCCTTGTCTCTTTGGTCCCCAGCTTTCTTCTTCCCCTTCTTCCGGGTGACAGGAGGTGGTGACCGTGTGTTCTGGAGGGACATGTGAAGGACAGGTGACCCGAGTCACAGCCTCTTCTCTCCTGTGTGCCTTCCCCACTGGTCCTTAGGAGGAGGGCTTGGGGAGGAGCAGGTAAACCTGCAGGATCTCTTGTATCCCCTGGGGCCTCTGACACTCATTGGCACCTGTGTCTCTGTCTCCCAGGACCTGAGTTCCTTTGCCATGCCACTCCTCGATGGAGACCTGGACAGCACGGACAAGCATTCTGCCCGAAAGGTAGGTAAGGTCTCTTCCCGGAGCTGCACAAGCATACCAAGGCGGGCAAGACAAGCAGAGCCCGGGACACCCATCCCCTGTGCTCCCCCAGTCCCCAGCAGTGCCAGCTGCCCCCACCCCTGCTCCCTCACTTTCTATCATGCTGTTCTCCGCCTCCTGCTCTGTTTCTCTTCCAGCAGGAAACCCGGCCTCTGAGACTCCCGGTGGGAGGGTTAGGGGCTTCAGAGTGTAGGGCAGGGGTGGCCCCAGCATGGAGCGGGGATTAGGGCAGCCTGCCCAGTTTCTCCTGCAATCAGGAAGTGGAGGTGGGGCTGAGAGCCAGCAGGAAGCCCTCGCTGGACATCCTCCCACCCACAGAGCCTGTGGCAGGTATCAGCAGCGGAAGGATGGAGAGGAGTGTTTCATGTGGCCAGTGAGGGAGCACACAGGCCTGCATGGGGAGGACTTTCGCTGCTAGAAAAGGCAGAGCTGGTCTCTCATGCATGTGTTGATTTACATACAATGCAGTCAACAAATTGGCCTGGGTCCCCTGGCATCCACTGGCTCAACACCCACCCCACCTTGCTCAGAGGAGGCCTGATTAGCAGATCACCCCAGCCCTCCCCACTGTCCTGTCACAGTGGTGCTACCTCAAGAATCCGAGCCACTGTACTCCTAAAACTCTTTCCCTCCAAGGACCCTGCCATGCTCTGGGCAGGGGAGCTGGGGGAAATGTTGGGTTCCCATGGGCCTTGCTGCCTGGAGTTTCCTAGGCTGCCCCACTCATACCCCAGCCAGGACCAAATGAGAGACAGTACCCTCAATCCCAGGAGCACCCACAGGCTCCAGGAACCTCGAATTTAGGTGATGTGCAAGCAAGGCTTTAGGTGTTTTTTGTAGGCAGAGTGAGATGACCGCCTACCTTCAATCATTTCTAAGTTGCCCGTAAAGCCCTCTGTCTCCCCCAGCCCAACTTCTGTCTGTTTGTGTGGGCGCCCCAGTTCCACATCAGCAGCCCCTGGAGCAGGGACTATGGTCAGATCCTGCTGGCACCTAGCTCCTTGTGCGAATGTCATCGTGAGGGTGCTGCTGGGCTCCCACAGCAGAGAGGGGGAAGGAAGGGTGTGCCCAAGCTGCTGCTGTCCTCAAGAAGGGGAGACAGTGGGGAACCCGAGGAGGGATGGGGCAGAGGGACTGTGACAATGTCTGCCTGCAGGAACCTTTTGGATTTCTAACAGCCCACACAAGGGCCTCTGGTCACTTCCTCTTTGACAAGTTCAGATGGGTGTGAGGTTGCTGTGAGCTGTGAGCTCAAGATCAAAGGCAGACAGGATCCTTGTTGTACCTCTGCTTAAATCGGACAGCACATCTCCATCTCAGCAAGTTGATGAGAAATGTTCTCTACCATCCTCTTTCTGGGCTCATTGTGTAAAAGTCCTGATGTCCTGTCCCTGGCACATGCGAGTTTAGATGGGAAAATGACTTGCAAATGATGGAAATGCTTTCCCTTGGTTATAGTGTTGCATTAGAGCTGAGCCAGACCTGTATCGAGGTTGCTTGGTGTTTGAGCGTGCTAGGCTGGATTGCATATCCTAAACCTCAGGCTGGGGGCCAGGCCAGCCACGGAAGAGCTCCCTGCCCCTCTTAGCTTGTATCTGTCTCTCTGTGCCTGAGCTTAAGATCCCTATGCTCCGCCATAATGAAGGAGAAACTTGAGTCATTTGTAGGGAAGTGGTGCATAATGTTAAGTGAAATAAATCAGACACACGAGCTTCAATATCCCACGGCTTCTCTCCTATGTGAGAAATCCAGAGTATGTGCAAAACAGGCCTGGTGTGGTGATACACACCTGTAATCCCAGCACTCAGGAGGCTGAGGCAGGAGGATTACTGGGAGTTTGAGGCCAGCCTGGGCTATATAGTGAGTTCAAGGCCAGCCTGAACTCCATGGTGAGACTTTGTCCCAAAATAAACCAAATAAGTAAATCAATACATAAATAGATGATAGCAGGCAACAGGGAGATAAAACTTTTGCAAATGGGAGGGGATCGAGAGATGGAAGAGATCGGAGAAAGAGAAGAGAAGGAAATGAAAGAAGAATTAAGCTGTGCTCTGTGCACGGACCAGCTCCCCATGAGGAATGTGACCGCTATGCACTGTAAATACGGTCTTAAAAAAGCAAACATTTTTTAAAAGATCCCCATCCTTTAGGGAGCCCAGCCCTCTTTGGCAGTGGCAACTGAGGGCTTGAGGAGGCTCGTGGGCTGCCAGGCCACCACCAGTGTGCAGCCTCCAAACAGGCGGGTCCTGGGGCCCCAGTGTCTGAACCCCGTAGGTGCCCTATAGGGGTCCAGGCTCAGAGTGCAGGACACTCCCCAAGAGGCCAAGGCTCTGTGTGGAACTTCTGGTCTTCGACTGCACAGTGCTGGAGGGCAGCTGGGGCCAAGGGACAGAGGAAGGCCAGCTTGCTTGGTGACATTTCAGGGACCTTCAACACCCTGCCGCCGCTGCTCAACCGCCCGGCGCAGGATGCCATGGAAGGTCCTGGTGCCAGCCCAGCAAGGGGCCGTGGGGTTGCTTCCCTCCACACCTTGATCCTAGGACCATCACCACCTCTCTGTTTGTTGTTTCTGGCAATGACTCCTGTGTGACCTTGGACAAGTCATTCCATTTTCAGAACCTGTCCCCTGTGGCCAGCCAGGGCTGGTAACTGCGCTGACCTTTGGCTGCAATAACCAAATGAATCACTGTGGAATCACTGCTGGACGTGCTGGCCGTAGTCCCCGGGGCAGATATGGGGACACAGGTGTCACATTGGCGCATTCAGGTGCCACGCAGAAGGGCATCTCTATATCACTCTCCTGACTTGGGAGCCTCTGTGGAGCAGGACTATGACACTGACCACCAGTGATGTATGCTGGCTGTGGGACCGTTTGCTTCCCAGCTCCTCACCGGCTCTTCTCAGATTTTCACTTTGTCCTGAGCTCCACAGGCAGGGATAGTGGCTCACCTGACTGTAGTCAGAGTCTCAGGGGAGGTGGGTCCAGGTTCTTGGCGTCCTGAGCAAAGAACCAAGCAAGAACCAAGCAAGACCCCCAGAAAGGGCAGCAAAAGTAAGACTTGTTAAAAAGGAGTAGCGAGAGTAAGCAAAATAATAATAATAATAAGATCCACTGCACAGAGTAGAAGCAGCCAGAGAGATGCGGCAGGTACTGGATCTTGTAAGGGCTTGGGAATCTCGGGGGACTGGTAGCTGGGGATGGTTGGCCTTATGGTCTGGCCTGCCAGGCATTCCTGGGAGGTGTTGACTGTGCAGGGCTTTTAGAGGAAGTGTCAAAGCCCGCTGTGGGAATCAAAACTACAGTGCAAATGACGTTGGATGCAGGGAGGCTTCTGTGCTTTTAGGTCTGTGGACACCTGGGAGGCTGGGGGGACAGGATGACCTCTGTCTGCTGTAAATGGGTAGGATAATCTTTATCTTCTGGGTAGGATAATCTTTTATTGTGAGATACTTGACTTGCTCTGTCTGGGTTCTCTATTCTTACCCCACAACTTTCTCTTGTTTACCTCTCCTTGTTCTGTCTCTAACCTTCACTTTACATGATCAGGAAAGGAATAGCTTGGACTTCTATACCACAAGGCAGGTCCTGGTTCCATTACTCTTCTGTCTCCAGAGCCACTTGGGAAGGGCTGGTGCCAAGCCAGCCCTGCACCTCGTGTGGCCACACTGGTTCTTCAGGGTCAGGTACAAAATCCACAGGGGAGGTCGGTGTCACCTGAAAGTTCACCCCTACCAAGTCCTTCCAGAACTGAGCAAAGGCTGGGGCTCAGGACGCCCTCTAGTGGTGAGAGAGGCCAGGTAAAGCTATTGGGCATAGGATCTGGACCTTGGGCCACTTTTGCAGCTTGGTACTGGTCCCTGGAGTGCTGCATTACCAAGTTTCACTCTTGCCCTAATGTACCCTTTCCTTTTCCTCTGCAAAACTGGGAAGTCCTGACACCCTACTGTCTTTAGTACTTCAAGTTTACCAAAGAATAGGATGGTCGCGGATTAATATCTGTTACATGCTAACTACAAATTATACCACATGCCAACCGTCATATGTGAACTCCCAGTTGGCTTTCTACCAGGCAGAGGTTGCACTGTCCTCACTGTGCAGGGGAGGAAAGGGAGGCAGCAAACTGGAGGAACTTACCCAGATCACGTAGCAAGGGCCGGGATGACACCAAAGCTACAGGGACAACCTCCTGAGCCCACGCTGCAGGGATACGGATGGTCTTTGCAGGCTGCCAGCTGTGTGCCTCAGCTTGATCTTACAGGGTCTGATAGTTTTTAAACCCATAATTAAAGTGTGAAACTATCAATGAAGCAAGTCTCTAAGGTCTGGGCCCTCTGGCTTTCTGCACACAGCAGCTTGGGGCTGGGGTGTGGCTCAGCGGTAGAGCCCTTGCCTAGCGTGCTGGATACCCTGGGTTCCATCCCTAGCCAGGGAAAAGAAAACTATCCTCTTCTAGTAGCAGGGCCCTCAGGATACAGCCTCAGGCTCACTCTGTGCTTTCTCCCAGGGCTGGAGAACAAAAGAAGTGTATTCCTGTGTAGTCAGACCTGAGCTCAGAAGGTCAGATGAAGGTCAGATGAGCTCAGAGTCCCTGGAGGGAGCTATGTCTGTGCCTCTCCACCACCCTTTTCCCTTCCTCTCCTCCACTTCCTGAGAGCTGGTTGATCAGGCCTGAGCCTCCTGGGGCAGGCTGTCCTCAGGGCAGATTCCGAGCTTGATCCTCATTAGCCACCTCTGGAAGAGCTCAGGGCCATTTCTCAGCAGGTCCATGAGAGAATATGTGATGTCACACCCAAGAGAGGGCAAAAGTCAGAGTCTTTGGGGCGCTGCAACCTCATGCTGCTGTTTTTCTGCAGGTGGACAGCCCCCTCGGCTCGGGCAGCCCCTCCAGGGGGCTCTTCTCTAGAGGCCCCCAGGCCCGGCCCTCCAGCCCTGTGTCTGCTCCCGTGAGACCCAAGACCAGCCCGGGCTCCCCCAAAACCGTGTTCCCGTTCTCCTACCAGGAGTCCCCTCCTCGCTCGCCACGCCGCATGAGCTTCAGCGGGATCTTCCGCTCCTCGTCCAAAGAGTCTTCGCCCAACTCCAACCCATCTACCTCACCCGGGGGCATCAGGTTCTTCTCCCGCTCCAGAAAAAGTAAGACTCTGATGCTATGGTTTCAGGTGGGTGCCAGGTTGCTGGGGACCTTCACTAGAGCTACTTGGCCAGGTGGGGACAGAGCCGCCTGGTGGGTGACAGTTGGTGGCTTGGTACTCAGTGTGTGCAATGTGTTTGCTACCCTAAAGCAAGTCTCTCTCCAGAAGAGCAGTTTCCACCTGTCACTTTGGGTCCCTCGTACATGACAGGCTCTCTGGGATTCACCAGAAATATCCAGGGCTCACAGTTTGACTTGTAAGGACAAACATTTGCCTGCTGCCATCTCTGGAAGCCAGTGCAGGCCTGGCTTCCTGTGTCCCAACCATCCCCATCCTTGTGGTTTGGTGTTGGTGAGGGGGCTTATATTTGCTTTTGGCAGGTCCTGACTTTTCTTTTGGGACTCTGGGCAGCAGGGACTGGATGCTGGAATGGAGAGACAGTCCCCTGGGTTCTTGAGTATTTGTGATGTGGACAAAAAAATGTTCTCCCCTGAACACGTTGATCATACTATGAAAGGAACAGGCTAGTGAAGCGGTGGAGCATCTTTCCTCCTTTCCTGTGTCTCCTCTTCCTGGTTCTTTCTGCTCAGTTGGAGCATTTGCAGTAGGGAAGACTGAAAACACAAAATGAACTTGAGATCAGCCATCTGGGCATCCTCTCGCTCCAGGACCTGCGTGGGGGTGATCTGTGATCCCCGCGGCTGGCTGCAGCCAGGACTTTCATTCTTTCCTAGCTATAAGGAAGGTGTGCAGAGTGGTCCTCCTCTTCTCTTTACTTGGCTTCTAGTCCCCCTCACACCATCTCCACAGTATGACAGCACTCCTGCCTCTTCATGAACCCAGCTGTAAAGTCACAAAGTCCTGGGACTGAGGGGTTGATTGCTTGGGGGGGGGGAGGGAGGCAGGGAGCACCGTCTACAGAGCCTGGTGGGGAGCAGAATGTTGCAGTGCTGAAGCCGTGACACTCCAGAGCATCCCCAAGTTCCTGGCCAGCATCCCAGGATTCTCAGACACAGTGGTCCTTGGTTTCCATGGAGACTGTCCCAAGGACCTGCTGCAGATAGCAGAAGCCCAGAGTGCTCCAGCCTCTTGCATAACCTAGTGAGTGTTTGCAAGTAAACTTCACTCTTCTCATATAAACCACCTCCAGGTTGCTTATGATGCATAAAGCCGTGCCTAAAGCATTATCTTCATGATACATTGTTTAGGGAACAATGACAAGAGAAAAAAGAGCCATGTGTACTCAGTACAGGCATAATTTTGAACCCGTATTTTGGATCTCTGGTTGGTTGAATTCATGGAACCAGCAGTCACAGAGGCCCGGTCATAGTCCATCGTGAGTCCCCTCTAAGTGGAGAGAGCAGCAGACCAGACCCTCATGGTGGGGGGGAATGCTATTTCTTGGCACGTGGTGCCATGCTTGTGTCAGCTGTCACACAGTCCCACCAAAACAAAGCATCACGAACTGGTGCTTCAGAGGTGCAGTGTCACAGTTCAGGCAGAAGGGCACAGCACCGGCTCAGGCAGGGCCACACCCTGCTGCAAGTGTGAGGGAGGGACCAGCAGTGTCTCTCCCTCTTCTTCTGGGGAGAACACGTTGGATGAAGGGCCTGCCCTGCTTCTGAAATGATCTTGCTTCCAGAAATGGGCACATTACAAGTTTCTGGGTGAGACACACATTTCAGGGGATACTGTCCAACCTGGTATCCAGCGTGTACAGGAAAGGCTGATCTACAGTGAGAGGCGTGGAGGATTTGTGTTGAGGAGCCTGGGAAGACACGCAGAGTGGGCGTTTCCTTGTGACCTGGGTGGGGGGCTGGGCAGAGCTGAAGAGGTGCAGGCTCTCACAGGGTGGCTCCCAAGTGTCACATGGGGTGGTGAAGCCACACAGGACTTGCCTTGGTGCTCTGTTGAAAGCTGGCCGTGGCCTCCTCCCCTGGAGGCCTGCACTGCCCTGGGGAACACTCCCCGAATCTCAGCACCAGTCCTTGGTGCTCGGCATTTTTGTTTTGTTTTGTTTTTTGTACTGGGAACTGAAGTCATGACCTCACACTTACCAGGCAAGTGCTTGAGCCCCTGAGCTAAGTCCCCCGCCAAGTAGTCAGCTTTTTAGAGAAGCTTCCTGGGAGATATTTAGACCAGAGTCCCTGACAGCTGTTCCTTTCCTTGTCCTCGAAGCATGGAACCCAGCTTTCAGCCTGACTAACCCTGTCACTAACAAGGGCCAGGGTCCAGCTCTGCATCCAGTTGGGATGGTTGGTGCCAGCACTCTGAGTCTCCCACGGGGCAGGTCACCCTACATTGCTTCCATTTGCCTTTATATTTGTGGTTAGTGTGACCCTGGGGTGGAGGGTGGATGCGTACTTCTGGGTGTGTCTGGGTGACAGAGTTGTGACCCTGGGTTTATATCTGGATCCTTACTCTTTTCTCTCTGGCACTGTTCCCTTCTCTGCTTCCTCACTTGCATGAGCTAAGTGGATTTGGTCCAACACACCCTTCCACCATGATGTTTCTCCCCTGGAGTCAGCAGGCCATGTACTGGATCCCCTGAAACCATGAGCCTAACTAAACCTGTCTCTGTTCAGTTGTGGGTGTCACATATTATGTTCCAACAATGGGAAAACTAACATCATAGACATCATAAATACTTCCTTAAAACTTGAAAATCTATTCTTGGATCAAAGTACCAGACCACCTACTTCTCCCTACTGCCAAAGAACTGATTTCATGAAATCAAGCACTAGGGTGATACCATCAGCAGGGGTGGAGAGTCTTTTCGTGTACCAGCGTCATGACACCCACTGCGTGGATCTCAGGGATGTCACAGAGACACTGTTCCTCGCCCAGGCTCCTGAGGGGATTTCCTGTCTGGCCCTAATACCAGAAATAGCTGCACTTCTCATCTGCTGGCCTGTTTCTGTGCACACTGACTGTGTTCCAGCCCAGTGTTCCTGTCTGTTCTGCCTGCCATAAGTTTTGACCCAAATTTCTGCAAAAGGCGCTCAGGATCTGTCATGCTTCATCTGTGCATTCAATGATGCTCTCATCATTTCATCTTGACCCTGCTGCTTTTTTTAAAAAGACTTTTATTGGAAGGATTCTGGGAGTATTTATGGAATTTTTTAAAAACCCAAAAACTGAGGTTGCAGGAAGAATCTGACCCAGAAAGGTCTTAGTCTCTATGTCTCTCTGTTCTAAAGTCCTCATTCCAGGGTGTCTGATTAGCTGGGTGGGAATCTCTGAGCGACTCAGAGTTGCCGGGAGGGTACAGGGTCAGAGAGCAAAGGCAGAAAGACTAAGAACCTAGCAAGCAGGGTAGGAGGGTCCAGGGCAGGAGGCAGCTTCTCCTCTGCTGCCTAGTACGTGCACACACCACCTTCCTGTGTCCCCAAGGGTACCCTCATCAAGCTCTGGTTACCCGCGACAGGGAAGTGGGCGCACCATTTCCCCAGTGGGGGGCCTCTGATGTCACGCCCAGCTACCACACTCAGGCTGTGACTGCATTCGGGTTTCCTGAGGCTTCCATCTCGTGTTTCTTCTCGAGTTCTGTCTGCATCTTGTCTTTCTAGCCTGCCTCTTACCTCTGCACGCGTAGAGCCTAAAGTTTAGCAAGTGCCCCATGAATGCTGGCATAAAACATCAACATTCGGAAGACAGAAACTATGACGCTGTCACTTTGGAAGGAGAGGTGAAAGGGGGAAAGGAGGTAACTTGGTCATCAGATGCTCTGAGAATGAGAAAGGGAATCAAGATGGGGACCATGGTTGTGCCTTCTCCATCTGCTCCCAGTCCGGGTGGACTCTGCAGCTGTATTTCATCTTTGCACACTTGTGTCCTGCTTGGCGCTGGTGGAAGGAGGTAGCTGTGAGCTCCTCTGTCTCCACTTCCTGGTCATCCTCAGCTTCGGGATCCCTCACTTACTGGGGATCTCCAGCTTCATGGAAACACAACCATGCCCTCCCTGCCTTCTTGGGGAGCTGTTACCACCAGGACTGCAGAATTGCCCAGTTGCCGCAGTGACCATGCAACCTGAGTCTGAAAGGTTTGTCCATGCCATTTTGCACTGGTACCTGGGGAATTCCAAAGTGACCATGTGGCTGGAGAGGTTTCTAGAACAGTGAGTGTGTCTCAGCTTGGTTTGGGGTGATCTGACCTTTGGAGATGAGAAGAGGAAAGTGCATGTCAGCGTGGTTAGGAGATGAAGGCTTTTTAAAAAGCAAAACTAGGGCTGCGAATTTAGCTCAGCGGCATAAGCGCCTGCCTGGCAAGTGTGAGGTCGTGAGTTCAATCCCCAGTGCCCAAATAAATAAATAAATAAATACCAAATGAAATAAACTTTAAGATAAATATCACTAGACACATGCTTCATGATAAAAAAGACTGGCATATCAGCCAAATATGCAATTACAAAAAAAATAAAATAAAAAGCAAAACTATTCTTGCACAGTTTGTAGGCACCCCTCACCAGTGGTTCTGTTCCCCATTATTAACTCTGTCCCCTGGTTGGCGAGAATGCTCGTATGTCCTAGATGTGCTGTGTGCTGCAATTCTTTGAATTTTTAGAAATTGTATGAAGTGGCACAGTCTTTACCAAGGTAGAAAGTGACACTCACAGCCATAGAGCCAGGATTTGAACTCAGCTGGTCTAACCTCAATCCACTTTAACCCAGGTGCTGAGACTCTGCTTTCAGGGACTTTTGATGTTTTAACTTTGTGAGGTGTGAAAGTAATACACCCTCAGTAGAAGCCAGACCTCCAATCTTGGAGAAAAAAAAAAAAAAACAGTCACAAACATTTGCTTCAGTAAAAAGGGTCTTTGCAGTTGCCTCTAAGACACATGGATCCACACAACTCAGAATCAGTGTCCTGAAGATGTGTGGTCCAAGCTTCCTTCAGGCTGCTGGGCAGTCAGTGGCTGTGAGCCGCTCTGCGCTGGGTTACAGAGGGAAGCAGCTCTGTGCTGAGCTGGGTGTGCAGAGGCCAGGCCTTGACAGTAACCGC